ACTGATGCACTCCTCAGTTAACGAGGGGAGAGAGAATGCTCTTTCAGTTGTCATTGAGATGGGCCTCAAAGGAAAAAGTGAAATAGCTGAGCAGTGAATGGGAAAGAGCGAGAATAACTTCAAGACACTGATAAAGAAAAGGTCTGAGCGAACTGCTCATGTGAAATCATCTCACTGGTGGGTTCTGTCTCAATTATCTGTCATCTTCGTCGTCCCACTCTGCGCTGCTCCCCGCCACCGCCCTGTCACTGAATAGACACTATGTGCAGCTGCGTTGAAATTCTGATCACATCGCAGGGTATCTGTGTGTGTGTGTGTGTGTGTGTGTGTGTGTGACAGATCAATTCAGGTTCTGCACCTTTTGCTGTCTTCAACATTAAATCACGGTGAGGCATAAACCATTTGAAACACATACACACACTCTGGGGAGAAATTTGAATGTTTTAACTTAAGGTAAGTTAGGATGCACTTAAGCAACAGACATACGTAACAAAGCCTGGAGGTTAACATGGACCCCTGATATTTGATCACTAAAGCTGCTTTCAGGCATTTACTGATTTCCAGATAATCTCCTGAAATTATCCGGAGGGGCTCGATGTGAGAATGCAAATATACGAGCCTTTTGAGTTTTTCCTGATAGTCCCCTCATACAAACTGCGGATAATATGTGAGTGAGCCCATATGAGAACACAGCAGGAGACTATCAGGAGGATTCACTGCGAGCGAGTGGACGCGTTGATGACATTTCTAACACCCCACAAATATCTCAGGATAAAAGTAGAAGATGAAGATGTCAAATCTGAAAAACTACGAGATTCTAGAGCTTTTGGTGATGAGGGCCGACCCCAGTGTTGACGAGCTGTAAACAAAAACACGTGATTTCCGCGGCAGAATTAATTAATACATTCTGCCTCCTGCAAACTCCTGGAGAATCTCCAGCTGCTCCGGAGAAAGTCTGTTCCATTGTGGGGACATTCTCCAGAGTTCATGTATGAAAATGGCAGAATACTCTTAATTAATATTTCATGATTAGTTAATGAGAAACTTCCAGGTTGAATTTTTTAAGTTTTATGCTTCACATTTCATAGAAATTATGATCTGAAAAGTGATGTGTGATTAAAATAAATTCAGAGATATTAATAATAGGTATTTTGATCACTTTCCATTAAACCTTCACTGGGTGTCAGCTGGTTCTTGCATCGTGGTGAATTAATATGTTTGGGGAGGTTGCAATAATTCTACCTCAGAGTACAAAGACACCCTACATCTCATACCTGGTTCACTCAACATTTTTCTTCCTGTTGCTAAATGCATAACTGCACTTATATAGCTGTTTCCCTGCTTGCAGTCTTAATGCTCAGCTTATGAAACCAGCTGCAGTGTCATATCCCTACAGATATAAGATTGTTATTGATCCTCTCGTCTAAGTCTTGGCACGAAAAAGGATTGGAGCATTTTCCTAAATTGTTCAACCATTTCCATATTATCATATGAGCTAGAGGGTAAAAAATTATCAACTGGCTGGGTAATATGACAAAAGCAAAGAAAATGGTTGATTTTAAAAGAATAAATCCAGTATACATCAAGATGGCACATCTGGAGAACAAGCCCAAATATTGTCTTGTTGCACATATTTTCAGATCGCTTGGCCAGATCGGTGATGCAGCGTTCCAGATGGGAGACAAAGACTGTTTACACAAACAACTGGGTCTGAGTCAGCAGAGTTTTGCACATGGAGCAAATCTGCAATAGCAGCTGTAAGGGTCGGTTGAGTGATATCAAACGAAAACGAAAACGCTGCAGGTCTGGGCAGGAATGCGACTGCGCCTCTGTAGCTGTGATTGACATGTCTTGTTAAGGGCAGGATTTCTGAGAGGAGAACAGCAGCTCAGTCTTGTCAAGGTTAATCGGGGGGGGGGGGGTTGTTTGGCAGGAAGCCAACAGGAGATTTGAGCTCGAAAATTGGAGATATGCAACCCAACCTGTGTGTCAGAGCTGGGAGTCAAGAGGTCAGTTTAGTGTCATACCAATGAAAGGAAGACTTATGGGATGTGGTGACAGAGCCAAGAGGTTTAGTGTTGAGAAAGAGGAGGATTTGGCCCAGTTGGAAGGTTCCTCACACCATGTTTTCTAAAACCACCAACCACTGGCTGGATAGACGACATTGGACTTCACAGACAGAAACTTTTGCAACTGGTCTTATGATCACTGTATTGATGTCAGAAGACACCAATCTGACATTTCTTTTTTTTTTTCTAGAATAAGAGCTTCTAATTGCAACAAACAAACATGCACTGTAGGGAAAGCAGTAAAGTGGAAATGTATAACTCGGATCCCAATCTTTGCTCCTGCTGTTTTCATGATAATACAATTGTTTCTAGCTGCCACTGAGTAAAACAGCTGTGAAGTTGTTCTTTTTCATTTGAAATACAAGTCAACATGCTAACCAGGTTCTCTCATTGTCCCCGAGTGTGTTTGATTTGACTCGGTACGCTGCACTGACACCTGGCATGGAAGATTGTTTAATCTTCAGTTCTGCCCAAATGTATAACTGATGTTATACTGGAATGAGATTACTGGCAAGGTGCACTGCATTTGTTTCAGTTCTACTTTAATGGTAAGATTTATTTGGCTACATCGAAATATGTATGTTCATTCACACTTCAATAAACAATATGTGGCAATTCTTCATTAAAATGTGGAAGAAGAACTAGACCTATGTTAAATATGTTGTTGACTTGTGTTATTATTATGTTATGATATGTTATATATCTAATATGTTTGAAACAATATTCAAACGCAGAGAAAACCATAATCCAATTCAAGAATGTTTAATGTGATCTCTTTTCAATTACGTCACATCAGGTTTACTCATGGCTTCGTCAATCTCTGATGTAATTTCCAGGGCGAGCGACGTATGGCAAATGAGAAACACACTGCGAGCCATAATGGCATTATTAATTGCAGTTTTCTGCGTAACATGAATAAAACTTTAATTCTTCAAACATTTAGTTTCTTCATAACGTAAGTCACACAAGTCAGATCAGAATACACAGACATAATTTTAATTGATCTACTAATTTATAAAAATATCTGTTTGTATGTGGAAAGCATATCTCAAGAACTGTTCATCTTATCAGCCGTGACTTGCATGTGTATTGTCAAGAGGCCGAGGAAGTGCAGCATTGATTTGGTGGGATTTGGACACGAGGTACATTCAATATAATAATAGGTGACCAGTGTTCTGTAGCAGCAGTGGCTGGGGCTCATCAGCTGCATAGGGTGGAATGTTCACAACAACAACTGATTCTCCAGTTCAGGTTCTGCTACTACATCAAGCTTCACTGAACTTAAACAAGTGAACAGCTCTTTGTGCAGCAGTGGTTTCAGGGTTCTATGGACTGAGTCCTGCAGCCGGTCTTTACTTGTTGCAGCTCAACTACTGGACGCCACTTTTACAGTTTCAGGAAGAAATCTGCAACCAGCCTCTCCACAGACCAAGCAAACATGCACTAGTTTCTAATTCAGTGATTTCCTGACAATGTGATCACCTTTAATGTCCATCACAAATAAAAATCCATAAATCAGCTTAGAAATCGAAAAGACATGTTTCTACATTATCTTGTGCATTAAAGTAATCTTGAGATAGTTGCCTGTCATCTATAAGTACATTGCAAACAGAAACTGATAATTCAACATCCTGGAGCCAATTCAGCAGTGGGAGGGTGGAGGTGCAATTGTATCAGTTTTGTGTGAGAAGGGCTCCACAAGTTTAGACTTCAAAAACCTCAGTAGCCTATAATACATATAATATCTTTAAGTAGTATTGCATGTTTATACAGTCTACTCTTGACTGCCCAATTTGCTGTAACACTGCACATTTCCCAGTTGTGGGACTTATCTTATCTTATCTGATGTAATTATACAGTTTATGTGGGATATGTTACAACTCATCAATCTTGAATATGCGAGCAATGAAAAAAGCTGCAAAAATATTGATTTTTTTTTGGACATATTTGAGGTGGTACACTCAAAAGAATATTTGAGGTGGCACAAAAGAAATGTTAAAAGGAGCAATACTGCTCTGTAGTCTGAGATGTCTGATCAGATGAGGTTCAGTTTCATGACGAGGAGGAGTAAGTTGAACCGACTCAAAGGAAGATGGCGCTCTGTCTCGGGTCACAGAGCAGTCGATGCTATAGCGGTGAGGCAGATACCTGATCAGCATGGAGGTGAAGGAAAGATCTGAGTGGAGGGGGCTGCTGGCAGAGTTACAGAACCTCATCAGGGGGAAAACAAGAGAGATGGTGGGTGGTGGAGAACCTCAGACATCATTTATCATTTTCTTCTCCAAGTATGTGACAAAATCCTGTGAGGGCAGGAGGTTGAGGAGGAAGGAGTCGGGCAGGAATTTTGTTGTGTTAGCAGCAAAGACACAGTGTAAAGTTGCTTTGGTGGAAAATCTTTACGTCAAAACAAATTTATCTGACACTGATAACTTGCTTTGAACACTTTCTGTGAATGTACACTGATTTATTAACATGGCGACTGATAAGGGTGACTCAATCTCCGACTCAGTGGAAAGAAATGCTGTGTTAAATGTGATGGAAAATCAAGGGGAAAGAAATTGGTTTGTAAAGTTTGCAGAGTTTATATTTGTATAACTGGCTTTAAAGCCACTATGAGAGAAGGTTCAGTTTATTTTTAGTGTTTTAGATTAAACTGAGTCACAGTCATTGCAATTCATTTTGAATAAATGTAATGAAAGTTTGGTAAATGAAGAATAAATCACTTAATCCTTTAACCTAGAGGAGATGTGGAAAAGAAATGAAAATGAAATGCTGCACATGGCAAACAGTAACTACGCACACGAGAGTCACACATTATTAAATCATTTGTAATACCATTACACTTTCATCATCGGAAATGGTCAAATCTTTGCATCTGATTGACATTGACGTTCCACTGTGATTTCTTATCATTTTTCTTTTCCTCCACAGAGACTAAATCTGAAGCCGGAGGTGACAACTAATCAACATTGACGCTTAACATAAAAACAGAAGAAGGAGTTTGTTTGTGAAGAGAGTGAGAACACGTCAGCCTCCTCCTCAGTTTTACGGATTGCGAGTCCACAACAGCCGAAGAAGCTACAGTTTGCAGACGCTGAAGGAAGCGTGCTGAGGAAGAATAGTGCAAATGGTGCTGCAGGACCTCCTACCCTGTCAGCCCCACTTCAAAAAGTGAGTTTAATCAGGTCTTATTCTTGATTCAGTCTACGTTTAGTCTTTTTTTAACTTTCAGTTTCAGCAACTCAAATATTCACATATACATTTCATATTTTTTTCAGCAGTTTTTCATTTTTTAACTTCTGAAATGCTAATGGTAGGAATAAGACAAAGACACAATCAGAAATGTAGAAATAGATTATTAAGTACATAAATAAATGTAGTGTGATCAAACTACAGTATGGTAATAAAAAATATTCCGATGTGATGTCTCCTTAAAAAAAATGGATTACATATAAGTATCAGCAGCCATTTCTCTCAAAAAAAAAGTCTTTAAATCTGCTGACATTAAACAAACCCAGGACATTTATTAACAACAAATGAGTTTTTCTGAAGATGTATCTGGTCTTAAAACAATCTGCAAAGGGTATTTTTATCCAACTGGATGGAGCAAGGGATTTTAATTCATTTTCTGAGCTGTTTCTCGTCTTCTAATCCAAACAAAGATGGTAACTGGAAAGGACATGTTTCCCTGCTCAGTTTGTACAACTTGAAGCAGAATTTAAAAGTATATTCATATTTTCCTAAAAAATACAATGTTTCATGTAAGGAAAACGGATGTGAGTAGGAAATTGAGTGCAAGGTGATTGTGACAAATCTGAGGGGTGAACTTTTAATTCCATTTAATGTGAATCTAAATCAATTAAAACATTTGTCTACAAGAGACTCAGTGCAATTAAATTGCTGAAAATGCTCCAAATGCAATTTCCTTTCATTCTTTTAGCATTTTATGAAAAAAGCTCCACCCTCATCAGTTAAAAGACCTTAAAGCTATAACAAATATAAAGCAGGGGAGAGGACCACCTTGACCGTACCTCTGTCTTAAATGGTGGCAGTAATTAAATAAGAGATAAATGAAGCCATTAAACAAACTAACACTTATCAATGGTTAAATGGTGAGCAATAAAGCTCGATTATCCCCTCATTTTCTCCTTTTGGGCAGGAGTCCAAAGAAAGCAATCAGTAAAGGTTGCCGTAAAAAAGCAGGCGCCCATTAACGAAATATACTAACTCGCTGCAATCGGTCAATGCTTTGAGTTGGACTGTATCTCGTGACACCATAATAGCATAATTTTGTCTTTTCATTTGCTAAGCCAATGCTTATTAATTCACAAGGGCAGGATTTTATTTGAACTAATCATGTGTCATATTCCCAAATGTTAGACATGATTTTGAGAGTCTGAGAGATAACATTTGGAAATGATATTCTGAAGTATATAATTTCACTGATTTATCCTCTTATTCAGAACAAATACAGTATGTTCACCAGTCTGACAGCGTTTCAGGGGGTAAAGTAAAACCTTATAGTCATAAGAGAGTGAACAGTATGTGAACAACAGTGTGAGGCATATCGGCATACGAAGCAACGTTTGCTTTCGGTCCAAACACTCCTACAGCTGATATTTAAAACACACACACACACACACACACACACACACACACACACACACACACACACACACAGAAGAGTCGAATCACGTGAACACTGGAGAGGGGGCGACCTGTGTCTCTTCACCCACTGCCATTTCTCTAATTGTGAAAGATAAACGTGCAACAACACAAGATGATGTGTACTTCATTATTCACATAAACCAGCATGCGGACACTCAAACCTTTAAAAATGCACAAACAGACATGTCCTCACATTCACTTAATGGCTTTGAAATTCATTTTTTTAAGTTGTATTGTTGCTGTAATTTTTCTTGGGCAAGATTTTATCAGACAAAAGTAGATTTTAAGTGGATGATTATTGGATGATTCACTGTTTCAGTCAGTCAAAGGAAAAACAATTTGTTTTCAACACAAACCAGAGACAAAATAAAAGTAGTGCACACAATTTAATTTATCTATTCTATCAGAACCATGTTAACAAATATGCTAATGTTTCTGCCTGACTGCTTTCACCAGTTAGTATTTTTTTATTAATATAATTAGGATAAGTAAATAGATAAATGATGCATAAAGATAATGATATATGGAGAAAATCTGTTGAATGAAAAGGGTAAATATGCAGGAAGTAAAACAGAGACAAATTCCTCCGCCAAGGCCCCTTAAATGACAACAAGCCTTAAAGCTAAGGTCACTTTATGTTTCTTAGCTACATACCGGTGGTGGTTTTAGGTTTCCAACGCTATTTGTTACCATACAGCAGTGGAAGAGATCCTACACCCCTATGAAACCACATTGAAATTCACAAGATCCAGATTTTTTATTTGGATCTGCAAGAAACTGCACACACTCATTGATACCAACGACCTGAACATCTGAATTATTTCATCAAGCTCCCTGAATTATTGAGAAATCAATATGAATCGTGCAATGTTAAAGAAAGTGGGGAAAAAATCTACCCCTTGATTCAGATCCAAGTCAAAACTGAAAGGGTTCTTTCCTGACCCATACCGCATCCTACCACCAAGTTGTATGGTAATCCGTCAAGTAGTTTTTGCATAATCTTGCTAACAAAACAAAGAAACAGAGGCTGCTGAAAACATAACCTACTCTGCAGAGGATTTTAAAACAACAAAAAGAAAATGTCTCCTTGTCATCCCCATAAGTCACGTATATGAGTGGAGGAACTTCAAGAGCAAATGTGAAGCACAGTTTAGGGCTGTGTGCACAGAGACGTGTTTTGACATTGGCGAGACATAATGTGTATGTTGTGACATGAAGGGTGCAGATGACAATATGAAGATCAAAGTTGCAGACAGGGGGGTGAGTAACACACTGGGAACAACAGGATGGAACCATGGCGCCAACTTCTGATTGAAAGTGACCAAACAGAAATAATAGAGTTACTTGTTATCTTCTGCTTGTATGTATCAGCACCACAATGCAAGATAGGTGTGTTTTCAGTGACAGTACATGCAGACAGTGTTTCTATGACTGGAGTTACACTTCTGTTAACCTTATCTTTAGACTGCTGAATGTATTTTCCTTCAATTCACAGAATCCAGTGGTCTCTTGGTGGAAATGACTTTGCTGCATGTGTGTTACTACTGAGCCTTTCTTTAATTTATTTACTGTTGTTTTTACTACCAGTAATCTCAGTGTCCACATAAATGTTAGCTTCTGATGCTGGTATTTATATAATGATACACATTATATATTATAAAGAAAACCTGTCTGTTTTAGTAGTCAGACCTCCAACATGGCTGCCCTGAATAACCTGACTGCTTAAGGTATACTCCCACTGATGTTATCTTTTCATTTTTGCCTCTGTTGTATCTTTGATATGGACGTTAATTTTCTCCCTGAGAGCACAGTGTTGTCTCGTGACTCAGCTGCCTGGGTCTCCCGCAGCCCTGCATCGATATTGCAACTTGTCAGGCTTGAATTCAAATTTAACCAATTAAGCTAACCAACCTCCCCTCTCTCCTTTTCTCGCAAATACAAAAATCCAATCAGAGTCCTAGCTGAAGCGTGACAACCACAGCTTGACTCCATGACTTAAAGGCAGAAAATAAATTTGCCTTTATAAATCCCACTTAAAATGATTACGCACGCTTTCTCAAAACTGGGAAGTTAGACCCTTCTTGAGAATAAACTCAACAATCAATAAATGCGACACCAACATTTGAGAAGAGAAAGTAGAGTATTGTGCAAATGATTTAAGAAACATGTTATTTGTTGATCAAAGTGTGTATTTAGTCCACTAACACAGACTGACACATCTAAAGCTTATTCACCAGCTCAATTCACTGCTTTATTAAAAGCATGGAAAAGTGTTTTTTTAGCAATCAGAATCTTTGTGGGAGAAGAAAATAACTGATAAAAAGCTGTTCTGGTCACCTTATAATCCTCAGCCATAATATTTCTGATTTCATTGTGGGAGCAAAATGAAGTTGTAAAATGCATACCGAATAACACAAATTGAAAACTTGCAGTGAATGTAAACTTTATTTTTTATCATAAATGTCCATTACTGTCATCCATGTACAGAAAACAAATAATAAAAAAAGACACCTGCTGGATTACAGAACAGCTCAGGGTCAATGCAGTGCATTTTGAGCACATTTTGTAAGATTGCTCTCCCAAAACCCTCTGAGCATCAAGTAAGATTTTTACTTACCTCGCAGACAATAGAGGAGCATATTGCTGCAGGGAGCCGCGGCCCGTTTTTTGTTAATGCTGAAGGATTTACCTGTAATCTTGCCGTCTCCAGCAAGAAACACAGCCAAAATAATTCAATGGTAACAGCAGCTGCAGTGGAGACGACAGGGAATGAGACCGGTGGCACAACAGAACACATTATGGCGCTGTAAAGATAAAACATGTGGAGCTATATATCAAGTCACTCTGCAGCCCTGTGAACTGAACACCCACCAGCAAACAAAGCCCCGAAGATGAATATCCAACTGTGAATCATGCAACACTCCCTACATGCTGTACTCTGTCTATCACTTTATTACAGAGCACAACACTTCCAGAGTTATCGCTTCTGTCATATTCACATGGCGATTGATAAACATGAGTCTCTGAAAGTTCAATACACACAATTCTACTTCTTTTATTAAAATGTCCACATCCAACTTCACAGTTCAAAGTCAAATTTGCTTTGTTCATACATGTAATTGAAGAATTTATATCCTTCCTATACATACAAATACATTTAAATTTACTCCTGTGTTAATAAAGATTTTATTAGGAAAACATAATTTACATCTGTAAACACTAATCTTTATGTATGTCACATATCAAGGGTCTTTGTGTCAGCAGCTGAGATGAGAAACTGCTGAGTACAAATCCAATCACTCTTTGATGCCAGGAAATTGCTGGAAACCCCCCCCCCCCCTCTGAGTTAGTATGGGGGCAAATCCATTACTTATTTAGCCTTTAACATGTTATTCAATCTGCTCTATATGGTACGTTCACATGTTTTCAAAGAAGAGAAGATGATGGAGCACTTCACGGCATTGGCACATCACAGATTATAATCTATTATGAGGCACAAGTGCAAAGGCTCATTTGGTTTGAAATGTCAGGTGATGGATATAGATGGTTTCATTCAAGACACTTGAATGTTGCTTGTGATGTTGTTTATTTTGCACCAAAGTTATGACAAAGCTCTAGAAAACTATTTATTTGATATATTTGATAAAATATTTCGGTTTCTATATTTAATTTTTTCTGTCTTGTACATTTGAGCCTTATTTGTTGCTTTTTGGGGATTAAAGTCCATTTTAGCTTGAAGATTATCGTACATAGAAAGTCATGATCTCAAATAAAAACCCACCACTTTGTGGCTCTCACAACCTCTTTGACCGTCCAAAACACAGAGGCCATGCTTTTCTATCTTTTTTTTTTCCATCTTAGAGCTGTTGAGTAACCATCATGTTTTGCAGCATCCTTTCCACATGTCCAATCTGTAAATCTAAAATATGATCCATGGACATGGCATGTAAGATAAGCTGTGGGCCAATATTATCTTTTCCCTGCCATCAGTAAAATGGATTTACTGATACATCAGCAGCTCCTACGGTCATCCAAAATCCGGTTTTCCAGATTTCCCTCTTCTATCCCTCTGCGGGGGTCTTAATGGGGGAGATGAGATTCAAAGGTCTTGCTCAAAGCTGCTTTCTGTCACACTCCCTCCCTCCCAGTTTTTTTTTTAAATGTAAATCGATCCAGTCTTGGGTTCCAGTATTAGATTGGGGGTTGTTGTGTGTACTGTACTTTGCCTGAGGCGGCTGGGTGTCTGGCTTACACATTACCCCACATCCCCGCTTTACTCCCCTCTACTGAAATCTGAAATGTAGACGGCAACCACACTGCAGCTCGTCCACATATGGGTTAATGTTTGCAATTCGATCGTGCATGGATTGACAAACACACAGTACTTCTGAAGCAGAAACAGTTGCATGCACAAACACAAAGGGCAGCCATGTGCTCCTAATGCCTTTATACCATCCTTTAACAGAGCAAGAAAAATAAACAACCATGAGGCCAAAAAAAGAAAAAATCCTGAATGTCTGTCTGCCATTCTTGGTAGCACCTGCTTAATCCGGAAAATCATAGCTCAATATGCTGTATTAATCCCTCTGGCTCTCTGCACCACTTCAATCTCATACCACATCGCTCTCTTGTTTTTAAAGGGCTGACCCAAATACTCTGATTTTCAAGTGTTCACTGCTGAAGCTCCTGGGATTCAAAAGTCATCCATTCTTTAGCGCGTCACACACACAAAACGCTTACAGCAGAATGAAGTATATTGCTTTCTTAGTCATAAAATTAATCATTATCAAACCGCTTGAAGTAACAATATCATCTCCTTAAATTTTGTGTGATTAAGTGATTTCACTTTCCAGGCTCCACCCAAAGTGCTCCACTCCAGTGTGTGGAGAGGAGTGAATTGAAAGAAGGCAAGAAAAGGGAATTGTGGGTCGTAGTTACTTAACAGTGAATGTGAATATTTTGTGTAGCTGGATACAAAATTCACAGATGTTCCTGTCACTTCAGAGTTGAAGGATGTTTTAGCTGATGGTGACGGACGAAAATCAAACAACATTATTATGGATTTATTTTTTATTGATGCTTTTATTTTGAAGTCTAAGAACCTCAGGATCCTGTTGAACAGATTGTCAGTATGATTGATATAGATTTTTTGGAAGGTTTTCTTTTAATAATCTGCCCTGTCAGGGTTATAGATGTAGAAATATGTGAACATAAGTGGAACTGAAATGTTTGGAGGAAACAGAAAAAGCTTTGAAGTGTGTAACAAATGTGTCACTACTCTAAACTGAAGACAGCTGAACTCAACGTTTTAGTCTTGAATAGTTTTATGGCACAACATAAATGTGTCACCTCCTTCAATGCCCCCTGTTTTATATTGATAAGAATATTTGTATTTAAAGGCTTCACAGAATTTGCAGCCATAATATGCACACATAGTTGTGAGTGAAAGTATCTATAGTGGTTATGACCAACTAGTATAAAAAGTTTAGTTTGCCAAATGTAACACAAGAGTTGATTATTAACAAGCTAACAACACATCTCAGTGGAGAATAAATACAGTCATCCATTTGTAAGAGGAGTTTTAACATTTGCATTTGACAAATCATAGACAGCAAAAAAGGTCGGAGTTAAATGTCAGTGAAATTTACTCTCTGTGTTCAGTAAAAAACAAAAAGAAAAAAATAACTACATAGAGATTAATGTTTGCAAATATGTATTCAACAAAGTCAACTCCCAGCAGAGTTGTCATTCATTTGGTTAATTATCATGCTGTCTATCTTACACTCCTGGGAATCCTGTAATCTGCATGAGAGCTGACTGACTATGGCAGATCACTTTGGATTTGTGAGGAAATCAATACTACAGCCCCACTATGTTTGCTGCTGTGTGGGCCTTAACGGTTTGACTAATGGCCGTGGTTATTGAAGACTGCGATGGGCTCAAGTTGTCACTGACAGTGTTGCAATTTGCCAGTTTCCAAATCTCTGCAGTCGATACTGTACTTACTGTAATGGAATCTCTCACTTCATCAGTAACAACAAGATATCACAATGACGGAATCAAATTCCAAGCACAGCTCATGTAGATACCCACAACACAATTGTAATGTCACAAGTTTGTTAATTTTCGTTACATCTGCAGATTATATTTGCTTCACTAATGTATTGTACTGTATTAAAATGATGTAACTAAATGAAACTAAAGATGTGATTTGTGTAGACATTTTTATGATGTTTCATCGTGCCCGGCTTCATCCTGATGCCTAATTTTGAATTTAACTCTTGCACACTATGGCTCTGAGATAAAACATGTTGTTCCTTCTTGATAATGAAAAGTATCTTCAGCTCTGTCTGGCTAATGCAGCCATCTGCTGGCAACTTCTAATGGAGTTATGGGGCCTCTCAAGATCTCTTAAATAATTTAAAAGTGGAGAGTATTCTCAAGACTTCATAACCACAAGGCTTAATTCTAAATGTAATATTCAATTTGTCATTTCCATAGCAGTTTTACCCTAAGACTAAATATTTACTCAGCTTTGAACATAGAGTACCGTACACACTAAATATTACTTTTCTAACTGTCTTTAATATTGGGTTACAGAGACTTATTCAACATAAATATTGCTGGCTGTGCATTTATCTTTGTCTTCCTGGCTTAGGGTGGATGGCAGAATGTTGTCTGTAATGGGAATCGTCAAAGGGCCACTCATATGCGTACATCGGCATGTTGATCTCATTATAAATTCTATAAAGTCAATCGGAGGCCTATGTAGGTTCTGTTTAGACATTATCATTGTAGCATTTTCACAGATTCAAGTATTACTGAAACATGCAATTATGACGTACAATGTGAAGCTGTTAAATATTTCTCATCTCATAAAAATTCCACTGAAATTAACTTTGTTGTGTCGTTATCTTTGATGTGACTGTTAACTAATTCATCTCCATGCATCAGTGCTCACTGTAATTTCTCTGTCTCTCTCAGGGTGGAGGTCACAGGATTCCTGCTGACATCAAGGATTTGAGGATTAACCATACACCTGGAAAGAGAGACTGTGCTTATGTTTACCATAATGGCACCTGCAAGAACGGCCAAACTGTGTGCTCGGCTCTTCCTGCTGTTTCTTTGCTTGACACTACATGCCGGCATGCTTCAGTTCACTACAGCTACGATACAAGGATACATTGGAGACAGGGATATATGCCCATCTGTATGCAGGTGCGATGAGGACTTCATCTACTGCAATGATCGTGGCCTGAATTCAATTCCCTCACTGCCACCATCTGCGTCTGTCCTCTACCTTCAGAACAACCACATAAACAACCCAGGTTTGCCCACCTCTTTGGAGCACCAACTTGCTATCCGAGTGGTCTACCTCTATGATAATGAACTGGATGAATTCCCTCTACATCTGCCACCATCCGTGCGTGAACTGCATTTGCAGGACAACAACATCCGCACTATTCCTCGGAGTGCACTAGCTCGGATGCCTTTGTTAGAGAAGCTCCACTTGGATGACAACTCTATTTCTACAGTCAGTATTGAGGATCAGGCCTTTGCTGACAACCCACGGTTGCGCTTGCTTTTCCTTTCACGCAACCATCTGTCTAGTATCCCCTCAGGACTGCCTGCTTCTCTGGAGGAACTGCGTTTGGATGACAACCGAATCTCCACAATCCCAACCCATGCCTTCCGAGGACTCAGCTCACTTAGATGTCTTGTCCTGGACGGAAACCTTTTGGCAAACCAGCGTATAGCTGATGACACATTCTCTCGTCTTTCTAACTTGACTGAGTTATCCCTTGTCCGAAACTCCCTCCAGACCCCACCTGTAAACTTGCCCAGTGCTCATCTTCAGCGCCTGTCTCTACAAGAAAATGCCCTAACCCATATGCCACGTGGGTCCTTAGATGGCATGCACAGGCTACAGAGGCTGGATCTGTCAGCAAACAACCTGACCACCCTGCCAAAGGGACTGTTCAAAGACTTGGACAGCTTGGGTCAACTGTTGGTGCGAGGTAATCCTTGGCACTGTGGCTGTAACCTGCGATGGTTGTATGATTGGCTGCATGCCCGTGGTAACACCATCACTGTCAGAGGTCTCACCTGCCATGGACCTGACAGAGTGCGAGACATCGCTTTGATAGACCTGGCCAGCGAGATGGACGAATGTGAAGTGGTTAGGACAGCAGGGACCAGAGACAGAGTGGGTGGAGGTGGAGTAGATAGCTCTACTACTAACACCCCTCCACAGGGCTCACTCTTCACCCTTCGATCAAAACGACCTGGATTGGGGCTTCCTGACTCTGGTTTAGACTACACTCTTAGCAGCAGTGGTGTGGGGAAGAGCCTGGCCCTCAATGTGAAGCCTCTCTCCCACAACAGTGTCCGTGTCACCTGGAGCGTGGCTCAGCCCAGCTCCTCTTTCAGGCTGAGCTGGCTGCGACAGGGCACTGGAAATGCCATGGGATCGATAACCGAGACGTTAGTCCGGGGGGACCGTAGAGAGTACCTGCTTACCTCGTTGCAACCACGTTCGAGCTACATCATCTGCATGGTACCCCTGCCTCCTAGTTCAGAAAGTAAAGGGGCAATTTCCGGAGATGCTGACTCTGATGAAGCTCTGGTGTGTGCAAAAGCTGAAACATCAGACCAAAGCCCATTAGAGGAGGAAGAGGATAAAGATTCACAGCAAATGACAACATTGCCATTGGCAGGGATTATTGGTGGAGCTTCTGCCATTGTGTCTTTGGCTCTTATTTTTTGCATCTTCTGTTGGTATGGACATCGGACTGGGAAGTTGTGTTCCCGTGACCACTATACTCGCAGCAGTTCTCGAAAAAGCAAAACCTATGATGATTACATTGAGTCAGGCACCAAGAAGGACAATACCATCTTGGAGATCCGTGGCCCAGGATTCCAGATGACACCAATGGCGGCTTGCCAGCCAATGCAGCCTAAACCCCTAAGAGAGGATTACATCGTTCATACCATATTCCCCTCCAATGGCACTGGCCTGTACAAAGGTGCCAACCATGTCTCTAATGCAGGACATGGCACCAACCGTGGCTATAGAGAAGGAGGAATCCCAGATATAGACTACTGTTACACATGATGTACTGTACCAGATCTTGTTCACAGTGTTATTGGTAAACTGTATAGATGCACAATTTCCCTTCGCATGGACACTTCTGAAGCACCCCTCTGTGCCTTCTTCTGGTCACCCATTCCAAATTACCTGCTGTTCAATGCTCTGAAAGTACAGATTATGAGGAACTGGAACTGAAATCATGTGGGAACAGTTCGCCGCAGGAAGCAGTAGCCAGCAGCCCAGGTGTAAATGCACAGCTGACCATTTCTTCACCATCTCAACAATGGCCTGTGTATGTTTTCTTTTTAGCTCTGCCCCTGTGACATGTTAAAAACGAATGTATCCACTGTGGAAAGGTCAAACTCAGCAAAGGTGCAGGTAGTCTTCTTCCTCACACAGGAGCCACAGCAGTCGATTCTAAATGGATTAAGAAGTTATGGAGAACAGACATCATTGGTTATCATTTCCTGCTCACTGATCATGCACAGTATGTAGTCTTATAAACTCATTGTTCCAAATGCCTCAACTATATTGTTGTGCCCTACCAGCTATCCAAGGAAAGGGCTTTGTAAAGCTGTGAATTGTTCTATTTCAAACGATCCAATAACCACTTGTCTTAAAGTAGGCTTGTTATTACCTTGTTCATTCGTTGTCAAGTTGAAGATCTTATCAGGGCTGGTCAGCCTTGGTTATACCTCTTAAGATCTTTCAATTGAGATCAGTAATGTAGTGTTGCATCAGATTAGATGCAGCACAAGTGTGTAGATAATTTACTTAGATACCGACTGGACTGTGTTTGAAAAATGCTTTGCTATTTTCATCAGTGGTTTGTTTAGTAATCAAATCCTGCACAGCTCTCTTTATTTATTTATTTTATTCCTTATGTGATTTAGATTTTTGTGTTTTTGTCTCTGCTAAAATGTCTTTTTTATTTTCACCCTCATGTTTGTCATGAATGAAGAAACCCAGCTTCGATGAAGACAGTGGATTTGGTTCATCTAAAGAGTAAAATATGAGAAGGGAAGAGTATCCTGATGGCTACCTACAGGTTAATGTTTTCTAAAACACAAAATGAATTCTTGAGTGTTTATAATATGTAATCAGAAAATTAGAACTCACCCAAAGACAAGCATGTAAGCCCACTGAGAAGATAGAAACCAACCTCAATCCCTCTTTTCCCATTTTGTGCCTGTGTGAATTAACCTGTGACTTCATTTAATGATTTACGGTTATAAAATGTTTCTTCCACACTCTTAAAGTGATGACAGTGCTCACAGAACATCCAGCCTGGACAAAAATACTAATGTGGAGCCTCCTGTGTGAGGCAGACTCCTGTGGGTGAACCTTGAAATGAGGGCGAAAACTCTAAGTGCAACTGAGGAGACTCAAACCGCAACACTGTTGACCTGCACTGTGGGGCAGCGCCAAGCTATAGGTGGGTGGATGGACCGGTGGAGTATTTTGGAGGTGGAGTGACTCCTCAGTGAGCGGAGTCCATTGATGTTTGCTTTCGCAAAGGTAGAAGGCCTCCACTCTTGCCACCTCTTTTATTACTGAGCAGCACTAAAAATGTAAATGTATCAGCACTTAGCAGAGTACAGGACAAATGTAATGACAGGCACAGGGAGACAGAGGATAAAGAAACATCCCAAGGCACTGAAAAAGATACAGAATAGATGGCTGTGGCAAGGTGGTGTTCACCCATGCATAAATCTGTTTTTCATACTCAGCTTCTTCCCTTGGGTTTAATATTGTCCAACAGTTGTTTAGGGGAAACCAGTTGTGCTTCCTTGACTGTGCTGCCTGCCAGAATTTTACACTGGTCTCAGACATGTCAGTGGAATGTATATTTTATCTGGCACCCAAATTCACCGGCTTAAACAAATAACATCTTTGTGGCCTGGCTAATTCTGTTTTGGAGAATGTTGATATTGTGTAATTGGTATTTTATAGTGGGTCTATTCAAGACACGTACTTCCTGATCATTTGTATAAATAAAACCATGGCCACAGCTACATGAATATTTTTTCTGGTCAAAATATAGAAAGTAATGGTGCCATAACTTTGCGTAGAACATTATGTGAACCTGAGATATGTGTGGAATTTGCTTTATAAATTCATCTTCAGAGGGGATCAATAAAAAGTTTTATAATCTTGTTATTACTGAAACTTTTCATTTCAACCAATGCCTGAGGAGACAAACTATTTCTCTAACTCAATATAACTTCTTTAACTGAAAACAAACTTGAATAGGTACTGAGATAAACCTCCATCCCAATAATTCAGTGTCCAACTATATTTGTTGCTTTCGTTTGATGAGCAACACTGGGATCAATCACGGCCAAAAGTCGCCTGAGGCCACAAACATGGAACCAGCAAAGATTAAAAGATGGAGCAGAGTGGAGTCAACAGGCCGCTGCCCTCAGTGACTTTTTGTTTACATACAGCCTGGGACTTCACTTCTCCTTCAGACTTAGACGGCACTAGAAATGTTTGGTTAGGCCAGTTTAATCTGCAAGAGTTTCTGAGGTCTTATGTAATATATTTTGTTGCCATAGTGAAAATCTATGACGACTGGAAATGAGTTGGTAGCCTCTCCAGTCGTATTTACTGCAGAAAAGAGCAGGGAGAAGATCTGTCAAACAGCCAAGATTTACAGCCGTCACAGATAATGAGCTCAAAAAGACTTAAAGAGTCAGAAAAATGCTGTCAGAGGAAATGATTTTGACCGTTTCCATCAGTGTGACAGGCGAGAGAGTGAGTCTGTGACTTACAGACACAAATGTGAGTTTTTGCATGTTAATGCATTTTATATTTCACTCACACAAACGAAAAGGGGTCTGAGATGAGAACTCATTTCTCCTTGGAATAATACTAACTCTGGGAAACCTCACAAGATGAGTGTTTCCGAACATCTTTTCCTGAAAGAAAAATGACATACGCCTCTTTACAATGATGTCACTCCCTGGAGTACACACTAACACTGATTAACAAAAACAGGACTTTGATGGAGTTTTAAATTACTCGCCAAGCAAACTGGTATAAATATTCTCATATTTGTCTGTGTGCAAATTTAAACACTTGCTTATTAAAGAATTGAACTGAAGAATGTGTCCAAAAAACATGGAGGGTGTTAGACTGAAAACATTTGAGGTACAAAATATTGAAAATCCAGAGGAGCAGGTCGGCTTCTTTCTTATTACTCTACAGCCGTTTAGTTTGGTTTAATTTCCCTTCATCATGGAAAACTACATTTTATTGTCATATAACTGCTGCCACTTTTTTCCTTGTCTAGGCCCAAGGGAGTGTGGTCTGTGGTCAGTCGGTTTTTGATGAGTATCACTACAGATCAACACTGTAACTGCTGTTGCAAAGTGTTTGTGAGCCGTTTGTAATAGCAGCAGAATTCCCATGCAGAGCAGCAGATTGGATTAGACCCTGGTCAACGTGGTGGAGCTGGAAGTGAGCCCAATACAAGTTAAATCATTTCGGGGTGATTGAAATGTATGAGGTTTATTATACATAACTCTTTCTGTCAGACTCTGAAGTCAAGAGGGAGCAACACATATGAAAGCATCTCATCAAATGTTCACTTATTCAGACTTAAGCTAGGTATGGTTGATTGATTGATTTTTTTCTTTTCATTAAGATCCATGAATTATTCCCTGGGAAACCAGGGAAGATATTAAAAGACGCAATAAAAAGTGACAAAAGAAATCCTGGATTCACACAAAGATTTAAACATTTAATGTGTTCTTCCCTGACCCATTCCACATCAATGCACCAAGTTCTGTGTTAATCTGTTCAATCGGTTATGTATCATCTTCCTTTCAAATTAACAAACAGAGAGGGGTAAAACATATCCTCCCTGGCTTAGGTTATAAAAAAAGCACATGAAGACGTTTTTAATCTGCAGTTGTCACCTTCTATAGAAGCATATGTTCTGGGTTTGAAAGGGGAACTCCATTGTTTTTAATATCAGCACTTGCCTCTCTTATCTGTTTGAGCATAGTGCCACAAGGGTATATCAGCTAACTAACTAGCATAACATGCCCAAATCAGAATTGTTGAGAGGATTCATTGTGTGCGAGTGGGCCCATTGATGATGTTTTTGAAATGCAAAGACACAAAACTGAAAAAGCCAAAAAGAATACAAATATCCCAGGATGAAAAAGAAGTGTCAGACATGTAGGAGACATGGATGAAGATGTCAAGAGAGCTTTTGGTAATAAGGGCTGATGCCAGAATCAATGACCCGGAGAGTGTCCTGTCACCTTCTTCTTATGTGAAAGGCAAAGTCCAAAGAAAGATCGAACCCGAGTTGTCTGAAAACAGCTTAAGATTATTGTCAACTATCAGTGGGGAGAGATGAACTCTGTAAACTGGGGTTGCATCAGGAAAGATGTAAATTGGTCCCTACAGCCATATTCTAAAGGAAACATGTCTCTGGCCTCACGAATGTAGACTTCACTGCCAACAGCAGCCCACGTACTGTACACACTCACCCTCTCAAGCACCTTTTAGTGGTCACAGAGATGAAAAAGTATCCTATTGTCATGGTCAGCTAGATCACCACTGCAATAACTGTGACCTGAAGGTTGGACAGTAACTTATTTCATGCCTCACTCCTAGACGATTTAATACCGTCCCCTGTAAATCTCATTGTGCACTGCGAAAGAAAGGCCATGAGAATGAAATATGAGAAATACGATATTAGAAATGAGGCCAAAGGGGGGGATATTGCTGAGAAAGAGATGGTGGAGATGTTGGCTATGGGACTCGTTGTGGACTCTCACAGCAGATGGGCTTGCTTGGTTTCTAACACAGATGGTTTAATAATGTTTTTTTCCCCAAGATTTCAGAAGTTAAGGGTTGATAAGTCGGCAGTCTGATCATATCAGATAAGCATAATATAATACTACTTGGATTTTGGATGGAAGGCCTTGTGTGACCCCTTAAAGGAATATTTCACCGAAAAATGTAAATTCCCACATTATCTACTCACCACTGTGCCGATGGAGGGGTGGTTGAAGTGTTTGAATCCACAAAACGGGTGAAGAGTGTTTCAGCCCAGGTGAACTCTTCTTCAAACGTGCCTCCATACTGCTCCTGTGGTGTCATCCAGGTGTCCACAGCCCCTGACATTCATATTCAAATCGAAACAGCATCATTTACATCTACCCCATTACGATCCAGAGGAGAAGACGGCAACGGCTACACTCGCAGCACAATCGTGAACAGCGGAGACACAAACTCTTCTGGTCACTCTCCACTGGGTAAGCAACAGTCCAAGGTTTTATCTTGATTAAAGATACATGAGAAGCTGAATAAGAAAAAGGACTCTTACAAATTATGAGGTGACGAAAGTTTACTTCTCTCTGCATCGGGAGAAACCAAACTATGATGGGCCATGCGGAAGAAAGGACTGGTTATGACACAGAACACTAGAAGGTCTAACATGTTATATCGTGAACTTCCACTCACTCTTGACGCTGGCCATGCACCAACATATTCCATGTCTGTGAAAAAATAGACTGCAGCCAGACATCATCCCTGGAGGGTCCATCA